CCTCCGCACGTCCCCTGAATTAGCCGGTTTGTATCTTAATCCCTGTTCCCCTAGGAAGAAAAAAGGATCCTTTTTGTTCATATATTAGAAAGCCCATAACCCAAAAAGTAAAAAGGATCCCTAACACTGATCGAGGTATGGTTTAGGGCCTTAGGGATGCTGCCTCGGTCGGAAGTCTCTATGTCTGTGGTTTAGGGGGTCTCGGTGTTAGGGCACTTGGAACCCTAAACCCTAAACCCTAAACCCTAAACCCTAAACCCTGAACCCTAAACCCTAAACCCTAAACCCTAAAACCCTAAACCCTAAACCCTAAACCCTAAACCCTAAACCCTGAACCCTGAACCCTGAACCCTAAACCCTAAACCCTAAACCCTAAACCCTAAACCCTAAACCCTAAACCCTAAACCCCATCCTAGAAGAACTCCTGCAGTCGCGCTTCAACTGTCCATTTAGGGGCTTGGCTTAGGAGCCTCTTCCTTTTACAGGAAATCTGGGGCCTACATAGCCCTGGGCGCCTTGAATGCCCCGCCTAAACCCTAAACCCTAAACCCTAAACCCTAAACCCTAAACCCTAAACCCTAAACCCTAAACCCTAAATCCTAAACCCTAAACCCTAAACCCTAAACAACATTTAGGGGCAAACTGGGCTCTGCGGTCGCTTGTCCCCCTCAAATCTGTTCATCGACCTGAGCCGCGCACGCCAGGGTAGACCTCAGCTTCACATGGACCCTAAACCCTAAACCCTAAACCCTAAACCCTAAACCCTAAACCCTAAACCCTAAACCCTAAACCCTAAACCCTAAACCCTAAACCCTAAACCCTAAACCCTAAACCCAAACCCTAAACCCTAAACATGTTGTTTTTTTTTGCTAAGTCTTCGGGTAGTTACATGGTCATCCAGTATGGGATGATGGGCACTTATCTCAGCAATCCCCGTAAGCGCTTTAGACGACAGAAGTAATATCAGTGCAGACCACTCAAATCAGGGACGCCAAGAATTGGATAACTCACATCTAGAAGTTGCTCAGCAAATGGGAGCCCACCAGGTAGTCCGAATTGAGCCCCTGCAAACCCTAAACCCTAAACCCTAAACCCTAAACCCTAAACCCTAAGCCAGTGTCTCCTCCCATCTGACTGCGCACCGTGCTGGCAGGGAAGATAGCGTCGTCGATGGTCATTCTTCTCGGTCTGTGCGTCCGTCTTCCTCTCACCATCACCAGCCGCTGCTTCGGTCGCCTTTTTTCGGGGCCCCTAAACCCTAAACCCTAAACCCTAAACCCTAAACCCTAAACCCTAAACCCTAAACCCTAAACCCTAAACCCTGAAGTTGCCCGCAATACCAGCAGCAGCTGCACCACCAGCACCACCAGCACCACCATCGCCATTGAAAGGGGACCCCTTATTTACCCCTCATATACCCTCTCAGGGCCCATACTTCAGAACCCGTTAACGGAGGCAAGGCACCATACTAAGAGCCCATGCAACTACCCTTAGACTAAGGGTTTTATATGGTCCGAAAAAAAAGGAGGTCCCTTACCTTCTTTTAAGGGCCAATATTAAGGGACCATGTAACTACCCAAAACCCAAAAATCCTGAAACCCTAAAACCCTAAAACCCTAAAACCCTAAAACCCTAAAAACCCTAAAAACCCTAAAAGCCCTAAAAGCCCTAAACCCTAAACCCTAAACCCTAAACCCTAAACCCTAAACCCCATCCCACTCATGGCCCAGTGGCGGAGGATGCCCCGCCAAGTTCCGCGAGGACCCCTGGCGCAGGGGCTTCATCCGGGTTTGGAGGGGGTTTAGGGTTTAGGGTTTAGGGTTTAGGGTTTAGGGTTTAGTGTTTGGGGTTTAGGGTCTAGTGTTTAGCGTTTAGGGGGTTTAAGGTGTACAGGGTTTGTACGCTTTAGGGTGTATGGGATTTAGGGTTTTTTGCTGACGCGGTGAAGAGGCACACTTTCAAGGGCAACAAACCGACTTTAGGATTTATGGGATTTGGGGTTTGGGGTTTATGGTTGAGGGTTTATAGGGTTGAGGGTTGATAGGGTTGAGGATTGATCGGGTTTTAAGGGCGTACAGGGTTTGTAGGGTTCACGGGGTTTATAGGGTTTGAGGTTGAGGGTTTAGGGTATGGAGGGACTATAGGGATTCTACGGGTTATGGGGTTTACAGGGTTTGTAGAGTGTAGGGTTGAGGGTTTATGCGGTTTAGGGTTTTAGGGTGTCTTGGGCTTAGGTTTTTATGAGGGTGTAGCTGGGGTACGTCTATCCTAGATTGTATCCCAATTTTGAAGATGTGCACGGTACAGTTCAAATTTAATTATAGGGGCCCCCTAGTGCAACACGCAACTAACGCCGGACCAAACCCTAAACCCTAAACCCTAAACCCTATATAAACCCTATATAAACCCTAAATAAACCCTATATAAACCCTAAACCCTAAACCCTAAACCCAAACCAAATCAGCGCAGCCCATAAAAGGAGCCGCAAACACTTCATGAACTCCAACAGCCACTCCAAAACCCGACATAATCCCCAAAAACACAGATTCTTGAAACAAAAAACGACCTGTAAGCCGGTAAGCCCCTCTATGACAAATGGTCAAACTGGAGGTTTCCGAAGAAAGGGGCACTGTTTTGGGGGTTCCCTTTCAGGGCATTCTAGTCTATTCGGGGTGTATACGGGGTACCCCTATTTTGGGAAACCCTAAACCCTAAACCCTAAACCCGAAACCCTAAACCCTAAACCCTGCGCCCTCAGGAAGAGCCAGCCTCGTGCCGGGTGGTAGGCCAAAGAACTCGAGGACTGGTCCCTGGCATCAGTTTGGGGTTTAAGCTTCAGGGTTGGGAGGTTTAGGGTTTAGGGTTTAGGGTTTAGGGTTCAGGGTTGGGAGGTTTAGGGTTTAGGGTTACGGTTCAGGGTTGGGAAAATTCCCGCCTATACGAACAGTCATTAAAAGGGAATATAATAGGGGGTACTATAATCGCTATGAAGGATTGTAAGTGTAACGGGAACATCCCAAGTTCAGGGGTTTTGAGGAGATGTTGTTTCTTGTTTGGAGGGGGGGGTAGGGTTTTGGGCTTGGGGTTTAAAGCTGAGGGCTTAAAGGGTCCTGGAAGTTGAAACATGTTGGAGGCAAAACTGGGGTGAAGGACCGACACCCCTCATGAGCAGTTGATGCTCCATCCTCGCCTGTGTTACTCAAAGGCTTTCTAGGTTCCCCCGTTAACTCCTCGATAAGGGTACCCTTTCTCTCACTATTCAGCCTTATAATGAGGGGCCCCAAAACAACAAGGGAATAAGGGCAGTGTACTCTTTGATTAGGGTAGACAAGGCCTTAAAGCGCCGAAGTCCTGCAGCCGTCGATGGACTAGGCATCCAACACAAGAACGATGGTTTATACAAGACTATACTCCCCGTAGAACCTTCATGAAAATATCATATTTTAATATCCTCTTGGGTTCTATATGAACAATTATAAAAAACAAAACAATTCCCAAGGGGGATATAGAAGAGGCCCCCTGAACCTTGAACCCTAAACCCTATTTATACTTGCTTGGGGCTGAGCAGCCAAACCCACGAATAAAAGGCGATGAAGAAACCTAAACCCTAAACCCTAAACCCTAAACCCTAAACCCTAAACCCAAATTTCAACACATTCTTTGATGAAGGGCTGGTCTGTTGTGCGACTTTTCGAAGCGCCCCCGCGACTCGCGTGTTGCTGTGGGCTGCTGCAAGGGACCGCGGCGCGCGCGGCCATCTATTCCTGAGGTCACTTGGAGGTTCAGGGTACTTAGTAGCCATAAAAAGTGAGTTATAAGCTACATAAAAAAGCACCCTTAAGTACCCCAATAGGGTTATAATTGGGTTATAAGTACAGCTATAGTTGGGTTACGAAGTACCTGAACCTCCAAGCACGGGTCAGGGGCGAGGCTCCCCAGCAACATAGGAATAGGGCTTAGTGTTGCACTAGGATTTAGGATTCAAGGTTTGACTAACCGTTGCATTCTTTGTTTCCTTAGGGCCCCCCCCCCCTCACTTTTGCTGGTTGACTGGGGCAAGACAGGCTAAAACCGAAATCCTACCACAAGAAAAGGGGACGCAGTGTACCACAGAACGGCGTACGATCGCCAACGAAGAATAGTGACTCTAAGCCCGACCAATCCCCTCATATGGTTGCAGTTTGGATAGAGACGCAGTCATCAACCATCCTCAGCCCCAAACCCTGAACCCTGAACCCTAAACCCCCGAACCCGAAGCCCACAGTGTTACTTGGGCTTCAAGAAGAAAACCATGAACGTCCAGGCAGGGGATGTGGGCCCGTTTTGGTAGTTCAAAGGGGACATCTCATGTAGGGAAGGGGCCAGCACGAGAATGAGCACCTGTATCGATTCCCAACTTCCCCTCAAGCGCTAATAGGTTTAGGGTTTAGGGTTTAGGGTTTAGGGTTTAGGGTTTAGGGTTTAGGGTTTAGGGTTTAGGGTTTAGGGTTTAGGGTTTAGGGTTTGATAGAAGGGTTGTGGTGTTTAGGGTTGCGGTTTCTAGGGCTTTGTGGGTTGAAACCTTCGAGTCTTGGGGTAGTTGCATGGCCCCTTTTTATTGGAGAAGCCGAACCCTTCTATACCCTCAAAAACCCAAGGGCCTCCTAAACCCTGAACCCTAGGCCCTAAACCATAAACCCTTTCAAGAAGGTAGTCTCGAAAAGAGCTACAGGTTGGAGAGCTGATCGTTAGGGGTACTTACAATCTACTGATGACCAATAACGAGCCCTAAACCCGAATTAAACCCCGGCCTAGATCCGAAACCCAAAGCCTAAACCCTAGACCCTAAACCCTAAACCTCAACCCTGGACCTTAATTGGTTTAGGGTTTCGGGTTTAGGGTCCTAAACCCTGAACTCTCAAACCTAAACCCTAAACTCGAAACCGTAAGCCTGCAGTCCGACGTGGGAAGCTGAGATTCCTGCAAGATCTGATCTGAACACATCTCGGCGTTGCGAGGGCTCACGTGAGGTACCTTGGGTTGACAGGGTTTGGGGTCTTGGGTTTAGGGTTTCGGGTTGAGGTTTAGGGTTTAGGGTTTAGGGTTTAGGGTTTAGGGTTTAGGGTTTAGGGTTTGGGGTTTAGGGTTTAGGGTTTCGGGTTCAGGGTGTAGGGTTTCAGTTCATGCTCTCGAGGTTCAATGCTCAGAGGGCTTGTTAGGATTTAGGGGTTTTTGGCGCTTTTGCAGAAGGGCCTTTAGGCTTAGGGGCTTGAGGGTTCAGGGCTAAACCCTAAACCCTAAACCCAAACCAACCCTATGGGGTTTATGCAGGAGTTAGGAGCAAGGTTTTGGTGGAGTGAGCCTCCATTCACTCTCTCTGTTTGCCAGGTTCCCCAGTGACCTTGGATGAAAAAGGCCACCTTCTTTTGGTTTACGTAGGATGATACCCCTAAACCCTAAACCCTGAACCCTAAACCCTAAACCCTAAAAGGGAACCCAAACCCCCCAAAAAGAAATGAGAGCACTGCAGGGCGTCCTGGTGTGGAATGAAGGTGAAGGGCTTAACCCTAAACCCCTAAACCCTAAACCCTACACCCTACACCCTAAACCTATAGGGTTTATAAACCCTAAACCCTGACCCTAAAACTCTATGCCCTGTATGTAGGGTTTTGGGTTTAGGGGCTCGAGCTTATGTGTCAGAGCTAAGGGGAAAAGGGCTTGGGGGTTTCGGGCTTTGAGGTTCAGAGCTTCTAGGGCTTAGGGTTTGAGAGCTGCAGGGCTTGGGGTTTAGGGTTTAGGGTTTAGGGTTTAGGGTTTTGGGTTTAGGGTTTAGGGGTTTAGGGTAAACCGGACACCGAATTGCCAGGCGCGCGGCTGAGACTCGAACTGCCGGCGAACTGCCAGACAGCGCTCGTAGAGCCTTCGCGGCGGGCGTTTTCGGGTTTTCTGACTTAATGTCTAGGGGTTAGGGTTTAGGGTTTAGGGTTTAGGGGTTTAGGGGTTTAGGGGTTTAGGGGTTTAGGGGTAGGGGTTTTAGGGGTTTAGGGGTTTAGGAGTTTAGGGGTTTAGGGGTTTAGGGGTTTAGGGGTTTAGGGTTTTAGGGGTTTAGGGGTTTAGGGTTTTAAGGGTTTTAAGGGTTAAGGGTTTAGGGGTTTAGGGGTTTAGGGGTTTAGGGGCTTAGGGTTTAGAGTTTAGGGTTTAGGGTTTAGGGTTTGGGGTTTGGGGTTTTGGGTTTAGGGCTTGGGACTTAGGGCTTTCGGGTTTGACGGCTTGGGCTCTGCGTTTAGGGTTTAGTTATAGGGGTCTTGGGGGAGGGTGGGCTCATGGGGGGCAGGTACCCGGGGAACCTTTACAAGCAGGGCCCCCCTAAAGTGGGTTCGGGTCTGGGGCTCAACCCGACGAACTGCTACAGAAATTCCGGTAACCTGGGGCTTAGGGTTTAGGGTTCGGGCCGTTCTATCAGGAACCTAGGACCCTAAACCCTAAACCCTAAACCCTAAACCCTGAACCCTAAAACCCAAAAACCCAAAAACCCTAAAACCCTAAAACCCTAAACCCTAAACCCTAAACCCTAAACCCCCCCTCCCCGCAAAGATCGAGACAAACAGGGCCCACTGAAAGATCTCCGCAAAGGAGCTGAAGGTCCAGGTCGACGACCCTCAAGATGCGCGCCTGCCTCCAGACAGCTTCAATGTTCAGGAGGGAGGGGGAGTAGGGTTTAGGGTTTAGGGTTTAGGGGTTTAGGGTTTAGGGTTTAGGGTTTAGGGTTTTGGGGGGGGAGGGGGAGTTGGCGGGGGTCGGGGTTTTAGGTTAGGGGCTTCGGTTTTGGGGTGTATAGGGTTTGGGTGGGATGCTGCTGTTCTGGGAGCGTCGTAGTCTGCACACCCAAAACCCTAAACCCTAAACCCTAAACCCTAAACCCTAAACCCTACACACTAAACCCTCTAAGATGCCACTTGAAGCCCTACGCACCTTTGCCCTTACGACTTCCTGCGCTCGTGCTCTGAACCGAAATCGCAACACCACAGATTGCAAAGTCGCGGACCCTAAGCCCCCAAACCCTAAACACTGAACCCTAAACCCTAAACCCTAAACCCTAAACCCTAATTAAACCCCAAACCCTAAACCCTAAACCCTAAACCCTAAGCCCCAAACCCTAAACCCTAAACCCTAAACCCTAAACCCTAAACCCTAAACCCTAAACCCTAAACCTTAAACACTGAACCCTAAACACTAAACAACCAAGATCTGCAAATCTCTACGGAGCGCTTGCAGACACAACTCAGTTGCCGAGTCTCCTGACGAGGCAAAGCTTAACATCTTGCTGTCCTAGGGCTTAGGGTTTAGGGTTTAGGGTTTAGGGTTTTGGGTTTAGGGTTTAGCGTTTAGGGTTTAGGGTTTTTTGCTACGTGGGAGTTTGCGAAAATAAGGGGCTGAGGAATGTAAGGAGGGATTTCTGGAAGGGGCCCTTAATCGTATTCCCCTCTTCAACCCTTATATATACCTTATATAGTCCCTACATACCTAATAAGCCCGAATGAGCCCCTACATTACCCCTAAGGTCTTGAGTCCCTTGAACGAAAATAAGGGACCCCTATACTGGATACAGAAATACAGAAATAGTAGGATTCCCTCTTAACAAGGACCCCAAAAAAGGTGCGGATAATGTAGGAAACCCCCATGTAGAGCTTTGCTATCCCCAAAGGGTTTAGGGTTTAGGGCTTAGGGTTTATAGGGTCAACCTCCCGCACTACCGATTTACAAAGAAACCCTCGGCCCTGTGAAAGACCGAAGTCTCAAACCAGAGTTACCCTAACCCTAAACCCTAAACCCTAAACCCTAAACCCTAAACCCTAAACCCTAAACCCTAAACCCTAAACCCTAAACCCTAAACCCTAAACCCTAAACCCTAAACCCTACAGTTTAGGCTGCAAGTAGACACCACCGCATGCCGAGCTGCATCACCAGGACCCCCTCACGGCTCTCTATCTCGCCAACAGCTTGCACGCCTCGGCCTGCGTCGGGGGGCTTAGGGTTTAGGGTTTAGAGTTTTTAGAGTTTAGGGTTCAGGGTGAAAGCTCTGAAATATTCCCCCCCCCCCCCCCCCCCACCCCCCCCCCATCCCGACCCCCCCCCACCCCCCCCCCCCCCCCCACACCCCCCACATCCCCCCCCCCCCCCAAAAAAAAAATATATATATATATATATATATGTATATATCTACATATAAATATATACAAAAATAGTGATAAACATATTACACTTACAACCCCCCACACTCCCTGAAACCCCTTCACGAACCCTAAACCCTAAACCCGAATAATCCCTGCAGTTCCAATCCCCGCCCGCCCACCTTCGGGACCAAAAAAAACCCAATTTGTTGTTGTTTTTTTTTTTTTTGGGGGGGGGGGGGGGCGCATAAATCCTAGACCCTAGACCCTAAACCCTAGACCCTAGACCCTAAACCCTTTTTGGGGGGTTCATTTACACTTGGTCCCCCATCCATGGGACCTGGTACAATCTCCGCGGCGCGCACGGCGGCCGCGCCATCGACTAAGAGAGTGGCGCCCCGATCCTGGACTTGGGGCCGATCAAAGTGTAGGGTTTAGGGTTTAGGGTTTAGGGTTTAGGGTTTAGGGTGTAGGGTTTAGGGTTTAGGGTTTAGGGGTTAGGGCTTAGGGTGTAATTAGGGTTTAGGGTTTAGGGCTTACAAGTGTAGGGCCTGGGAGCGAAGCCCTCAACCCTGTAAACCTTCTTGAACTTGGGGTCTCCCTACCCACGAGTATCTACCAACGGGTACATGGAGCCTTGGGCTTGAGGTTTTGGGGTTTCGGGCTTTAAGGGCTTGAGGGCTTTAAGGCTTTGGGAATTCGAGGGCAAGGGGGGGGGTCTGGGTTTTCAGGGCCTCCGTGGCAGCTCTTTTGACTTGATGAGTCGGGTTAGTACGGTGGGTTATGGGTATCAAAATTTTGGTTCAATATGGGATACTAAGTAGACTTTACGATTTCGAAAGGGCTGCCATGTAGGGGCGTTGGTGCATGAAGGGCATGAGTTTGTCGCGTCAGGGTTCATGAGTTCGAGGTTTCTGCCGGCTTCGGGCTTCATCCGTACAAACCCCAAACCCTGGTAAGCCCTGCAAAGTTGAACCCTAAACTCAAACAAACCAAGAAGCCGAAACACGGTTGCATGGGTTTCCAGTTGTCTTGTGAGTTGGGGAGGTTCAGCACTTTAGGGGGGTTTAGTGCTGCCGGGATAGTGGGTGAATGGGTTGGAGGTTGGCTCTTACTCGGGGTTAGAGCAGCCTTTCTCCAATCCCAACAACTATGGCGCAGCTCCCTTGTTAAAGCCGTTGCATGTTGTGCTCGAGGTTTGAGCAAGTCAGGATTTACCAACCTTGTGAGGACAGTCTCCGGTTCCAGACAAACCCCGAACCTTAAACCCTAAGCTTTGGGGATGCCCCCCACCCTCATACTATACTAACAGTCCTTCATAGGGATTGTAGGAACTCCCCTATTCACAATCCCTATTAAGGATTGTTAGTATAAGGGGAACATCCCAACCGTAAACCCTGAAACCTGAAACCCTAAACCCTACACCCTAAACCCCCAAACCCTAAGCCCTAAGCCCTAACCCATCCTGGCAGTCTAGCGACGTGCAGAAGCAACAGGGGCCGACCACCCGCACCTTGTTGGAACTCCTGTTTTAGGGTCCTTAAGGGTATAGGGTTTGGGTTTACGTTCCCCTGCCTACTACTCCCTCAGGCTCCCTCAGCTTCCCAAAGGTTCCATGGCTACCTACCCCCCCTACGAACCCCCTCCCTTCGGGTTTACTCTTTGTGGGCGAGGCAAAGCCAAAACCCTAAGCCCCGGAACCAACAATCTCGGGTCCCGAAGTCTGGGCCCTTCATTCGGGGAAGAGTTTATACAACCCTTTTATTCACTATATATATATATATAACCCGTTTATACACTATATATATATATATATATATATATAGTGAGGGCCCGTACTTCGGATCCCTATAAACAAGAGTAAGGACGGCCACTAAGGGCCCATGGCTCAAACCTCAGAAACAAAATCCATTCTGGATCCGGGGTTTGGGCCTGGCTCGCGGTTGAGGGTTTGGTGTTTGGCGATTCCGTGGTGGCCTGAGGCGTGACAGGGGAGCCCACTTGTTGCTGATTATTGGTGTTCAAAAAGGGATAAAGTTCGACACGGCACCGTTTGCGCAAAAAGCCTTAAATCCTAAACCCTAAACAGTTGGCGGGTTTGAGGCTCATCCGAGAACCCCAAGGCCTTAGTGGGCTCTGTACTTCCCCCCCCCCCCCAGTAGCCCAGAACTTACACCAGTAGGGTTTAAGGTTCCATGTTTCAAGTTTAAGGTACCCCAAACACTAAACCCTAAACCCTAAACCCCCCTAAACCCTAAACCCTAATAGAAATCCTAAACCCTGGCTGCCCAGCCGCCTTCATCTCACCGGTGACACGCACAGATGCCCCCACAGCGGCGGCCGGATTCTGCACGAGTTCCTGCTAAGCTGTGCTGTTTAGGGTTTAGGGTTTAGGGTTTAGGGTTTAGGGTTTAGGGTTTAGGGTTTAGGGTTTAGGGTTTAGGGTTTAGGGTTTAGGGTTTAGGGTTTAGGGTTTAGGGTTTAGGGTTTAGGGTTTCGGGTTTCGGGTTTCGGGTTTAGAGTACAGGGCATGGGGTATAGAGGGTATGAGTTTAGGGTCTAGGGTCTAGGGTTGCGTACACATTCAACGTTGCCGCTGCCCACAAGCCGTTTTGACAAATCCTGGGGATTGAAGTCCGCCACCTTGCGTGCTATGAATCGCCTTGATGGTATACGCACACATAAGAAGTACAATATATGCATGTACATATTTATATATATATATATATATGTGCGTGTGTGTGCGCGCATATATACATAAATAAACAAAAAACAAACAAGTAAACAAACAAATAAATAAATTATATTTATAGAGAGAGCCCTGCAAAGCGAAGTTGGCCCCCGCCAACACGCAAAATGATACCCATGAAAGTAAAGGGTGCGTGTCTCTAAACCCTAAACCTTAAACCCTAAACCGTAAACCCTAAACCCTAAACCCTAAGCCCTAAGCCCTAAGCCCTAAGCCCTCAGCACTAAGCCCTAAGCCCTAAGGCCCTAAGCCCTAAGCCCTGAGGTGAGCAGCGCTCCTTCAGCAGGCAAATGCGTGCTGGGGGAAGCTGCAGTTGCTGCTGCCTAGGCGAGTTCGCGGTGCCCCCCCCCCCCCCCCCCCCCCCCCCCCCACGAAACCCCAGAACAAGGGTAAAGCTCCTTTAGGGTTTAGGGTTTAGGGTTTAGGGTTTAGGGTTTAGGGTTTAGGGTCCATGCAGGGTTTAGGGGTGAAAATTCGGGGCGAGAGGCGTCTAGAACATGCAGACACCGGGGTTTAGGGGTTGAAGAGTTGAAGCTCCGGGGGTGTCTTACGACTTTATTCCAGTTTTCGAGGTGCAGGGTCCTGGGTGCTTAGAAACTAGCACTTATAAGAGTCCCAAACCTTAAAGCCTCACACCCAGAACCTAAACCTTGAACCGTACACCCTAAACCTCTACCACCAAACCCTGAACCATCTAAACCCCAAACCCGAAACTCCCTAAACCCTACAAACCCATAACCCTCAAAATAAAGAATGATCTATCAAAACCGCAGACCTCAAACCCTGACCCCGAAGCCTAAACCCCTAGACCCAATACCGAGCCTGCAGCACATAGCTTGGCGTGATGAAATACCTGGGATCTTGACAAGGGCGCAAAAGTAGCCGCTGTCCGGTTGGCAAATCGTCCGTGTGTTGCTGGCACTCGTGGGGTCGCATGGGAGCGGATTGAAGAACTGCCCGTGCCGGGCTCCAATTGCTGCACCATCTTCAGGGCATCCACTCGCCTTGATGGAGGCTTTCGCGTTTGGGGTTTAAGGTTTATTATAAGGCTGAAGATTTGGGGTCTTGGGTTTACGATTTCCCAAACCATCAACTGTGATCTAAACCCCAAACCCTATACACCCCTAAGCCCTAGACCCTAAACCCTCATCCCCAAGAAGGGTCGCCCTAAGCCCTAAACCCTAAAAACCCCAAAAACCCTAAAACCCCTGAAAACCCTAAAAACCCTAAAAACGCCAAAAACCCTAAAAACCTTAAAAACCCTAAACTCGAAACCCGAAACCCCCCCACTAGACCCTAAAGACCCTATAAACCCTAAAAACCCTAAACCCTGAACCCTAAACCCCCCCCCTAAACCCCACTAAACCCTATGAACCCTATAAATCCTATAAACCCTAGACCCCACTAAACCCTATAAACCCTAAACCCTAAACCCCACTAAACTCTATACCCTAAACCCTAAACCCTAGACCCCCCGCTAAACCCCTAAAGAGAACCCTTTAAACCCTAAACCCTAAACCCCAAACCCCCCAAGACCCGCCGAGTTCCCCGCGGCTCAGCCGGCCGCTGTTGTGAGGCCATGGCAGGGACTCTGCGCCCTCCCTAAACCCTAAACCCTAAACCCTAAACCCTAAACCCTAAACCCTAAACCCACATGCTATGGACCCTGAAAACCCGATAAACCCTATAAAGCCCTAGACCTTCCTTGCCCACGGGCTTAGCGCAGCGACTTTGGGCTTAAGGCTTAAGGTGTAGGATTCTAGAGCTTAGGGTTTTCGGGTTTAGGCTCAAGGCGTTATAGGGTTTACCCTAACAGAAAAGGAAGAACCCTAAAGCCTAGACCCTGAACCCTAAGGCTGCAGGGAGCCACGGTTTAGGGTTTAGGGTTTAGGGTTTAGGGTTTAGGGTTTAGGGTTTAGGGTTTAGGGTTTAGGTTAGGTTTTGGGCTTCCGGATCCCTAAGCAACTCCAATGCCAGGGTTATGGCCACGACCTCATCTTTGTCGGGGGCTCTTGAGGGGACTGTTGACTCTCTTAACCCTATACTAAACCCTAAACCTTAAACTCTAAACCCTAAACTTTTAAGCCTAAACAAAACAAACCCTAAACCCTAAACTCTCTTAACCTGGGACCCTAAATCTGAAACCGAGGGTTTCTGAGTCGCAAGCCGAAAACAACGGACTGCTTGATGACCTCAACCCGTGTTACATAGGTTTTTTGGGACAATACAGGAAAATGTTTTCCAAAAGCCTCAACGCTACTTTAGAACGCACCTCATGTATGCCCCCCCCCCTCCCCTAACGCCCCTAAGTATTATCATCCCAGCAGTGCAGAGCATTTTGTGATAAAATCATTGCTAGGGGCTTACAGGCCACCAATCCCTGCTGAAACTAATTCCACTCAAGTTTCCACTATGATTTAGAGGTAAACCCAGGGATGTTCCCCCTTAATAGGGATTAATAGGGGGGGTACTATCATCCCTGTTAAGGACTGCCTGTACAATAAGGGCGACTAGACCCGGGAGTAACCTAGAAATAAAAGGTACCCTTCTTGGTTTGAACGGGATTATAAGGGAACCCCAACCCTAAAAAAATGCACCAAAAGGGCCTACTCCCGGTCCTAGGCGAACATCCCAACACAAACCCTTGACCCCATTACACCCTAATCTCGTAATCCTTCCTACACCGCCTAGAAGGCTCAACGGAGCTTTGGCTAAGGAAGCTGCCGCTGAGTCAGCCCCTAGCCCTAAACCCTAAACCCTGAACCCTAAACCCTAAACCCTAAACCCTAAACCCTAAGCCCAGAACTCCTGGCAAAAGCCAACAAGCCTCAGGCCCTGAAGAAACGCACCGAAACCCCACGCGAATCTACCCCCCCCCCCCCGCCCGCGGCCTTCTCCAAAACACAAAGAAGTAAACCGAAACTCCCAACCCTAAACCCTAAACCCTAAACCCTAAACCCTAAACCCTAAACCCTAAACCCTAAACCCTAAACCCTAAACCCTGAACCCTGAGCCCCCACGAAGCTTAAGGAAACATGCTGGGCGAACCCAGGGATCCTTGTGTGCGGAGCTGACCTCCTGCACTCAAGCGATTAATCTAGGGGTTTAGGGTTTAGGGTTTAGGGTTTAGGGTTTAGGGTTTAGGGTTTAGGGTTTAGGGTTGAGGGTTTAGGGTTGAGGGTTGAGGGTTGAGGGTTTATTGTAATTAGACTAGGGCTTGCGGGGTTCTTACAGTAATTTTACTCATGTATAGGGACCGTAAGGGAAGACCATTCGTAGTTCTTCCGACCCCTACAGTAGTTTCTGGGGTGTTCAGGTTCTGGGCTTAGTCTTGGTTTTGGGTTTAAGAAGCAGGGAGGCACGGAGGGCGTTGACTGAGTTTAAGGCTGTCCCTCAATGTGGTCCCTTATGGGGGTTTACGAAGATATAAGGGACCCCCCGAATAGGAACCTCCAAGTAGTAGGATTCCCTTATGATAAGGACCCCGATAAGGTACCCCTAATTTCGGCAACCCCCTTAGCTTCCTGAAAGGGGTCTATGGGCCCTGGGGATTTGCAGGGTATATGAGGGTATATACGGTTTCTAAGGGCCCTTGTAGCCACTCTGAGATTGAGGTGACCTGACATGACACAGGCAGCAAAGACCACGACCAAGCGACTTGGCACGAGTGCTGCAGTGCTGCCCTTGACTTTCTGGCGCAGAGTCGGGAGCAAAGGTCTGCATCATCATGTGACGGCCAAGCTTGGCGGCTGGGAGCGGGCCAGACACTTTAATTGTCAAGTAGCAAAAGAAGCAAAGGCCCTGACCAACCTTTAGAGCGTAGAACCGCGCCTCCCTTGACTTTGGCTCAGAGTCGGCCAGAAGAGGTTTTAAATCGCAAATGCAGAGCCAATTTTGGTAGTTGGCACGAGCCTCACTCGCCGAGCATGCACTGCTCAAAGATGAGTTTTTGTATTATGCTGCAAACATGGCTGTTGAAACAGCTATATATATATATATGTGATTCTTCATTAATAAGTGCTTATTCAGCTGTGTGAAAAGTAGGAAACAATGAGCAACTTTACTTTTCACTGCTTGCAACCTTCTGTGGAGTATTGCCATGAAATTCAGAGTGAGTGCCTCAAACACCCTAAACCCGATGATGACGAGCATACGCGACACCCAAAGAATAGGGTTCAGGGTTTAGGGTCTATTGTTTAGGGTTTTGGGTTTAGGGTGTTCAGGGCTTAGGGTTTACCATGTATAGCATTTAAACAGTTTAGTGTTCAGGGTTTCGGGTTTAATTAGGTGTTTATGGGATTTAGCATGTAGGGTTTCAACGGTTTATAGACTTTAGGATTTAGGGTTTAGGGCTTAGCCCTAAACCCTAAACCCTAAACACCCTAAACTCTGAAGCCCCAACTTACGCCTCCGACACCACCAGCAGCAAAGGCGGAGTCGCTGCCGACTCGTCACCTGCTGGGGGGGGGGGGGGGGGGGGCTTGGGGGTCCATGTGCCTAAATGGGCCTATATAGCATAGGGTTTAGGGTTTAGGGTTTAGGGTTTAGGGTTTAGGGTTTAGGGTTTAGGGTTTAGGGTTTAGGGTTTAGGGTTTAGGGTTTAGGGTTTAGGGTTTACGGTTTACGGTTTAGGGTTTAGGGTTTAGGGTGGGCCTATACAGCATAGAATTTAGAGTTTAGGGTTTAGGGTGTAGGGACAGGGTCTAGGGTCTGTAGCTCTATGTGAGGATGGTACTATATGGAAACCCCCTTTAGGCCCAAGTATCAACCATGTGGGTTCATGAGCACTTAGGGGGAAGTTAGGGGCCTAGGCAAAAGAACCTACTTGGAGTTCATGTATACTTATAACTTATAACCACAGTTGTAAGTCTACTGATAACCCACTCAAAAACTCAAGAGCCCATAAGTACAGTTTTGATTAAGGTTCTAAGTGCCCATGAACCTCTCCGTAAACCCTGCAGGGTTTCTTCACCATCTGTAGAACCCCTTTGTTGCCTCGAAACCTCAACCCAACATTCAATATTCCTTATAAGCAGACCGAACACAGACTAGCCGTAAACCCTGAACCCTAAACCCTAAACCTTAACTCCGATAAACAATCCAAACCCTATAAGAAGCCATCTACGCCTTGAACCCTGAAGAGACCTTACCACACTAAGCCCTAAAGCCTAAACCCTAAACCACCAAACCAAAGCTACTTACCAGCCAAGCCCCAAGCCCGACACGCTAAGCCCAAGAGCCCCAAAGCCTAATGAACCGTTAAAGCCTTACCACCCTGAGAAATTTTAGGGGTTTAGGGGTTATACCTAAACCCTAAACCCTAAACCCTAAACCCTAAACCCTAAACCCTAAACCCTAAACCCTAAACCCTAAACCCTACAGCCCAAACCCTGGAAACTTACTGGACACCAAGCTCCTCACAGTCTCAACGCAGTATGGAATCCAAGCGGCGGTGAGGCGACATCAGCGCCTGCAGGCATAGGGTGGTTGAGGATTTGGGGTTTAAGGTTTAGGGTTTAGGGTTTAGGGTTTAGGTTAAGGATATGGGGTTTAAGGTTTAGGTATTTCGGGTTTCGGGTTTAGGGTGTAGGGTTTAGGAATCCGAAACATTAGACCCCTTACTTAGGGTGGCAAGGCTCCAAGGCTGGGGGATCAGGGCAGTTGCAACGGGCCCGTACTTGGGGAGCCCTCATTTCCCCAAGAAATTAGTTTTTATCTGCACATAAATGAATAAATACAAAAATGAACAAATATATACACATATACAGATATACAAATATAAATATCTTTTAAATATAAATATAAATAAAATACATATATATATATATATACATATATATATATGTATATATCCAACCCAAGGGTAAGAAAGGTAAGGCACCATAGTAAGGGACCATGGAACTGCTCAGGCTTCTCCAGGTTAAAGTTTTTTGCCATCGCTACAAAGGCCGGAGCCCAAAAAGACTAAAAGCTCAAGGCGTTGGCTATGTGGTTTGGTTTAAAGACTCTTCCTTGAGTGAAGGACCCATGCTGTGACTTTGGGAGTATACCTTAAACGAGAGTTAGCTCTTCCGAAAAAGAAACCCTAAACCCTAAACCCTAAACCCTAAACTAGCGTGCTGCTAGAAGACACCGCCATCACACACTCAAGGTGGCTTCCGCACAGATCCTAACAGAAAATGGCTGTGTACTCCCCTATTTTGGAGTAAACCCCCTACTTTGGAGTAAACCCAGGAAGAAAAGTACATACTTTTTAGGTATAAGTAGCTATCATAGGAACCCAGAAATTCAAAAAACAAGTTAGAGTATGGTACTCCAAAGCCCAGATTCACAATGGCGTATCCCAAAATATTGGGAGATTTCGATTGGGACATTGGCATTGCTTCCACATGTATACGACCTTGAATGCCGGATAAACGAAGTTACGTGTCCTAAGGAACGAGGAACCAAACGCAACGCCCATTTCTTCTGTTGCGGTTTATGAAGCTTTCGTTATAAAAAAACACCAAGTACATGTACTCTACAAACACCAAGCAACATGCTTGAAACAAATCACAAACCAAATGCCCTGGTGCATTTAG